AGCTAGAGACGCGAGTGCTGTTAAAGTTAATCGTCGCACTAATTTTCATTGTTGAAAATCCTGTATGTCCTAAAATAATTTTGAAATCGTTTCGTTTTCTGCGTTTGGTTAATTTTTTTCTTTTTTGTTGTTGTTGTTGTTGTTGTCTACTTCTCATTAAACTGATCTGTGGAAAACGCTTCGTGTTTAACAAAACTTGAACATTGTTTTAAATTTTTTTTTTTTCTTTTTCTTTTTCTTTTTTTTTTTTTCATTTTTCTTATGGAGTGCAACACGGTTCGTTTGGTTACTTTGTGTGCTAACGACATTGGTAGCATACTAAAATTGTTAAAAAAATTAACAACCATGACAACAACAAAAACACTAGTAAGACAAACGAATTTACGCATTTTGATCCCATTTTAATATTCTAAGATGCTTTAAATGAAATACGTGTGTGTCACTGCCTTTAAGTTTTTCTTTACTTTTTCCTTTTTTTGTTTTCAAAAAGAACTCGTTACGTTTATTGTTTGCTTAATTGATTTTATGTACAGACCCACTAACCACGAACAACAGCATAAAAAGTATTAAGCCATGGAGAATTTAATTCAACATAAATTTCCAGCTAATAAGAAATAATATTACGAAAGTGCCTATGGGTCAATTGACTTTTCGCCATTTTTCTGAAGATACCAAAAGCAACAAAAAGTATTCGTACTCTTACAGTTTGACGTCGAAAGTCTGCTTAGGTTAAACATAGCTTTAAAAGGCCCTTCATTGAAGCGTTATAACAACTAAGGAAAGTTCTTTACTGATTGAAATCAATGCCAGTTTGATGGAGTCATCATGGATTTCTACGATGCATGTATAATATTAGGATGTGATAAGTAACTTTTTTTAAAGAGTCGCTCTTAATGTATATCACAAGTGTACCAGATTTCGGTTAAAAGACGTGGGCCTCACTTCTGAATCGTTTCGTTTTATTGCGATTATTTCCGGGTTAAGCATAGGGCCTTATGTGCCATTTGGCGACAACCACCTATCAAATGCCAGATGCTTTTCCACTTGTATCAAAAGCTCAGAATAAACTTCTCAATTACTAATGCAGACCTTATCACAAACTGCGCATCTTCTCTCATTTGCATCTTAATATTATTCCAAAAAAGTCATTATCGAAGGTTCTTTTCCTACGCGTCATCAACTGCTTCATTACGATTTAATACCGATTCATCGATGAAGTGAGTTTGAGTACATTTATCGGAATCATAGGCTATTGATACCCATCGGTCGGAACCGTGGAAGTCAGGTTTTTCCTCTTTAAGCTTATGAGGGCGGCTTGCGACAATGTTTACGGTGTTGCCATTTTTCCAAAATAATTTGTTTTCCTGGCACTTAAAGGTGTGGTCGATAACCTGTTCAAATGTTGTCATTTCATTACCTTTTCTTTTATCCGAAAATACTGTTAAAGGAAAACTTTTTATTTTTCCAAGCATTGCCGAATCTTTAATGATTTATTTATTTTTTACGCATATATTCTGACAAAGCATGAGTAATTTTCAACGAAAGTTGTTTATAGCGGCACATGAAAAAATGTTTCTTTATGGATTTGTTCTGTATTCATTTCGTTTATGGCAATAGAGTTGTAAAATATCCTACAGTTTACCAGTTTATCGATTCCATCATTTTTACATTCATAATAACTTGAGATTAGATTTCTCGAAAATTATAATATTTCTAGGCTCAATACTTTTTAGTTTATGCAATAAAAAATCAAAAAGAAAAATAAAAGATGCATTACCATATCAAGTCGTGGCCTAAGCCACGCAATGACTCGAGTCGAGCACTTACCTAACCGTCATTCACGAATGTCATCATCATTATTAACAGCGTCAAACATTTGAAACTCTTCATTGTCATCATCATCACACATCATATGTGAACGTTTATTAAAATGCATACTGCATCGCGCCTATTTGGCATTTTATTTAACTGCGTACGCTCATCTAAGTATATATACATAATATATGTATATAAATGCTCATCGTAACGTATGCTTTTATTATGGTATGCAAAATTAGTAAAATATATACTCTTAGCCAGTCGCTCAGACAGCGAGTTAACCAGCCAGCCAACCAGCCAACCAGCCAACCAGCCAGCCAGTCAGCTAACTTAACTTCGCTTCAGCTTAACCATTTCTCAAACAATTTTAAATACAAACAAATAATGAAACTCAAGAAGCTAAAGATAACAAGAAAGTTGACAGTATTTTATGTCTATGCAAACACATTCACACGTCGTATAATCATATCATTTGCAATGCATATGCATACATATGCATGCATGCACTCGTAGAAGGTCATATTTAATGTTTTGTTTATATTTTTGTGCAGCCTTGAAAATGGGTTTGGCCCTCTCTCTCTCTCTCTCTTTCTCTTTCTTTCTTTGCGCTCCCTAAACGCATTTTATATCAATTGTTTTTATTATTATTATTATTATATATTATAACCATTTGTCTGTGTTTGTGTATCCGTGAGTATGTATGCGTACCCGTGGTTTTTCATAAAAGAAAACAATTTTCACAATTCGCTTAGAGGCCAAGTGATGAAATGCATAATAATTTTCAATTAATTTGCATAAAAAAAAAAACTATAAATGGTTTCAGTTCTTTTTTGTTTTTGTTTTTATTTCGTAAAGAAATTAACAGCAGACAACAGAAGTTGAAAGAGTTCTGATTGGGATAACTTATCTATCTCGCCTGTTTGTCCGTCTACCTTATCTGCTTAGTCGAACGTTTGTCTTTATGTTCGTTTACTATCTTTCTAATCATATCTCTATCCGTTGCTTAGTTCATTGACAAGACTCGCAATGTTGGAAAAATTAAAGCAAATCCTGATCATATTGTATCGTTCCATTTTGAAACGTTTTCGAATCAAACTGAACTTGTCTGTCCGTCTTGTTTCTTTTTGATCAACATACAGGCCGCAATTTTAGAGATATCTAGCTTGCGTAAAAATGGTTCAGATTGAACCATTCTCTTTCGACCACTTTCCACATAAAGCCTTATTTTGAAGTATCGTTATAAGAATAACTCTAGGATGGTGCAGTGTATTTAATGGCAGGCCGTGGCTCACTAATGAATTTTTTTTTGCTTATATATGTCCAAATATTTGTAATATACAGAATTAAAAGCTGAAGTGTAGTCTGAAAAACCAAATCGATTAAGCCACGCACATCTATTTGAAGGGCGATGTTTCAAAATCAGTAAAAACATCGATATCATCAAAATCGATCTATGGGTTCGCTTCTATTTTGCATTCAAGTACCGCATACAAACTAACATTAATCGGTATTAATAGGTTCGAAGTAAACCGAGTGTTATTGCTTTGTTGTTTTTAAAAGAAACCGCTAGGTTATCAATTTAACGCCTTCTGTCCATTATTCATGCAGAAAGAGAAAAAATATTTCAATATTTCATTTATAAAAATGTTGAACAACATATATAATGACTCATTCATAATTATAGAAATTTTTTTTTTTTTTTTTGGGGAAAAAATATCTATACTACGTGCATTCATTCACCTTGGTTTGATTGCCGCTTTTGTTTTTCTATTTGTTTCCTTTCTTCAATCTTTTCAAATCTTGTATTGTGATATGTGAGAATTTCTTGTAGTCCGACATCCATTCCATCCAAAAATAGTTTGGACATCAAATCCACACACACTTACAAAAGATTTGATTGATGGGGAGCAAATAAGTATTTAAGAGAAAAAGAAAGAAAAAGAAGAAGCGCGTTACAGTCTGGCAAGGCCGACTCTTAGATACCCTACACAACTTCGTCTAATACAATTATTTATTCGTTTTGGTACACCGAAAATTGCACATTATTTTCATGCAACGAGACACTTTTCATCAAAACCCTCATACTAGGAGATGCTCAAAACGTCGTATGACGTAGTCCAAGTTTAGCAAACTTAATTTAATTCCCAAAAATTTTATTATTTTTCGATTTCTGTCATAGAAAAATAGAAACTAGAGGAACCATGTTCTTCTCCATATACAAGCTTGCTCTTATGCTAAACCTTACATATGCTAGCATCTTGAAAATAGACTTACGTGATCCAAATTCCATACTGTTAATTCTATGGACCAATTTTCATAATAAAATTTTTCTGAAGCGCTTATTATTCATGAGAAATCTTATACGGACCGGGGTCCAAGAAATAGACCAATGAAATTCAAATCTGGTCCACTTAATTTTTATGTCAATTTACTATTATAAACCAATTTTCACCATGAAACATTGAAGATAACACCCTTTTTATCGCAGAGAGATTCAGTTTTTGTAGAACGGGTATAGGAGAGGAGGCTAAAAATGGGCCCACCGAATCAAATACTTCTTGACACTTTTGAATGTTGAAGTACTACTATATCTGGCGACTTTTGTCTCGAAATTTTATTTTTTCGATGACATTTCCATTACATGGGGTGTAGTCGGAAAAGAAGACCGATCCGAAGCCTTTTCGATCGCATTCATCTTTGGGTCGAAGCACAGCAGTATAACAAATTACTTCAAAATATTTCAAAAATTACGACCTATAGGGTTGAACACATATGCATGGACACAGACATGCTTAAAACTTGATTCTGAATCGGTCGATGTAAGGAATCTTAAACGCTTCTAGGTATTATCTACGGCCGTGCAAACTGTACCGCAAGTAGTGTAGAGTACAATAAAAATCAAAAGCAAAAAAAAAAAAAAAAAAGAAAACGCAAATATATGTATATATATATATATACATATTTGTGTTTTTATTATTGTTTTCTGGTGTGTGATTTCACTTGGAATTAAATTTATGGTTTGGGAAAAAATGGAACAGAAAGTAAAAAAAGAGCTTAAACTTTGATAAGACACCTGCTTTCAAAAGAATTTCTTCGTTTTTCTCATATGTTATATGTAATTTTTATATGTATATATTATTATAACATTTTTTAACAATTTCTTTTTTAATTTCTTTTTCTAGACAATTACGGCACGAGTGCAAGCGGTAAGTTTTTCGCTTCAATTCTATTGTAAAAGAATACATTTTTTTTGGCATTTGAAACTTCTTACGTTAAACATCAGGCATTATATATGTGTGCTTCTTTCGCTTCTATAATCGAAATGTCCAAACTTTAACTGCCCTCAGGGCCATCATTTTAGAAGAGAATTGTATAGAATAGATTGTTGATTGAAATACTGTAGAACAACAAAATAATTAACAATAGTTGGTATGTTGTTAACAGACAAGTATGTCAAAGTCATCCTCAGATACTTATCAACAAATGTATATACGATTGATACGTACGTGTGCATATTAGAAATGATGAAATGATGAAATATAATCTTGTCTTGAGCTATGTGTCTCTTTCATCAACGCGCCCGAGCTATTGTTGTCTGCCCATTCCTGATTTCTTTGCAACAATTAAACGGAATACATACAAGTGTATGCGTTTGTAAGAATTCAGTCCCTTGTGCTCGCAGAGTTTAGGCTAACTATATAGTATTTGAAATTAAAGTAAAACTTTTCATTTAGAATTTGACAGCCACTATAATTAGGCGTATGACCATAACCCATCATCATCGTCGTCGTCATCATTATCATTGTTGCAGGGCGTTGTGCTCGTCGTCAGCAATTGTTGCAAAAAGCAACAACAACATACACTCACTTTTGGAATCTTCATATTTCCACTTTCATACGTACACATCAATGAAATTGAGCTGAACTAAAAGAAGGAAATAACGTATATCAGCTCCTCCTGATGTTTAGCTTAGCAATGGCCAATAACAACAAGCGAATTTTTGTTAACTTTTGTGTATGTATATAGCTGAGAGATATATAAACAGTTCGCATAAAATGAGTGAAATGAAATGAAGGTTAAAAAGTGAATCGTGGATACCCATCATTATGGGCATGGAATAAAATGGCCGTTTAACGTACGTTCTGACTAAAGAGTTTTAAGAGCTACCAGCAAAATGTTGAAGTAATTGACCTCATAACTGAAAAAGCGATAACGCACACATCGCTTATCCAGAGTAATTTCTGTAACTTCACTGCCTCAAAAATTTAGTCTACAGTTTTTTGGAAAAAAAATTCTCTCAGAACTAACCTTTGATCATCTGACCTTTCGAGTGACCGAAGAGTGTGTCTGTAACATTGAAAGAAGTCTATTTAAGGCTCCTCATTAGTCTCAGAATTAACTTTTGATCTTTTGACCGACCTTCACAGGTATGTAAATATGAAACCGGAATTTGCTCGGACTGTGAAACTTAGCGATTGGCAACTCTTCAGATAAAATATTTTTTTATCATTTTCATACATTAAAGGTGTACTTTTTAATACAAACATTCTGATTTGATATTCACATATGCGTTATGCTTTGTTTAAGGGACTATTCTTACAATTTTAATGACCTTGCTAGCCACACAAACATGAAAGCAGGTGCGTTTTTCATGGTGATTTTATAGCCAAATCTATAGTTGTCTGTACCGTTAGGTAAGGAGTTCTCACGGTTACATAGCTAGCGACTTTACTGGCGTTGAAAAGCTCTTCATCAGACATTGTGTTGCTGTTGTTGTTGTTGTTGTCATTTTTGTAGTTTGTAGCATATAACAATATCCGAATAATCGTATTTGGTTCTGAAGTTATAAATTTTGTGATTAAAAATCTGTCTAACACTATTATAAGTTCCACGAATGTATTGTTATGCTTGTGTTCATTTGACGTCTTAAATATTCAATGTTTTTAGTTTCTGTCGTGATTAATTTTTGTGGAATTTTTTTATTTTTTCTTCCCTTTTACGGTTTTCTTATTATGAAACATACTTGTATACCACATATATATATTATAAGTAAGATTGTAACGTGTCTTGTCTTCTTGAACACCTTGCAATGTTAAACAACCCGTTGGCAAATACCGGAAGATTTACATTAGAGCAAGCCATAGACGAATTAAATCAACTTTTGTAATTGCAAGTTATTCAGAAAAAAAGTTCTATTCATTTATAAGATACTTTCGCACAGGTCATCATATTAAATACCGCGTCCCACAAATGTTCTCTTACTTGTTGAAATTTATTTCTAAGGAAAGTTATTTTCTGCATTTCATTTTATCTACTATAACGATAAATTCTTCCAATGCCTCATTTACTTACTTAATAAACCATTTTGCTGTTTTGTTACACTAACCTTCTTAAATGAAGTCAACGAATATAAGAAAAAATATTTTACATACACAGACAACATACAAATTATATGCGTTTCTATAGGTCCCCTCCCCCCATACGTGAACTTATCGGGCATATTGAATGAATGCAGATGATGGGGTAATCGGTACATGTATTCGCAAATATGGCCGCCGAAAAAAAAAGGCAATACATATGTTTAAGTAGTACATTTGCATGAATATGCATGTATAGCATAGGTATATATGTATGTATATGTGTTTGTCGAAATAAAGAAATAAAAGAAAAATAACAACAACAACACATGCAAAATAATAATAATAATAATAATAACCTACCGTATATTTCTAAAAAATGCCTCAAGAGAAACGTATTAAATATTTTTAATACGATGTGTTGTATATGTGGTGCGTATTATGCTATGGTTGTTGTTGTTACGCTAGTTTTTTCTTTTGTTTTTTTTTTTTGTTGTATTTTGGAGTTTCGTGTTGAAAGATTTTCACATGCTGCAAATATCGGTGATACCAGACTATGATTGTTGTGGTTGGCTGTTGTGCCTGCTGTTGGTTGCATGTTCATATCGTGACTTACGCGTTAATAATAGTAATAGTTATGATCTCCACTTGTACTCCCTACCGTAGAACAAGAGTATACTAAATTTATCACATCGTTTCTTTCCCGGATATATCAAAATTCTACTTAACCGCCGAGCCAAGTCCAACACTAAACTTCTGCCTTCTGTACCCAACCGTGCATCGATCTACGTGCAGGAAACTTTTCTAAATCAATTTATCAATATACTTAGCCGTATCCTCTTTTTTTTCCCAATAGGCCCCCCCTGTTCGACCATTAGAAATGAAACGGCTTAGAAGCGCTGAAGAGAACGCTTAGAATACGTACTTCAATATAAAAATGTGCCAAATTTTTGAGCAACAGCGTTTTTGATTGACCTATCGACAACTTTGAAAGATCCAACAATTTTCGGTATTTACTTACATTTATGCTTTAAAGAGAGTCCTCGCTTGCTCTTGACATCCGTTACGGAAAAATGGGAACTAAGACGTTCTTGTGAATTTCTACACACGTTACAGTACACATGACCAGAGTGTAGTCCGCTGTAGATAAGTTTATATTCACATAACAACCGATCAATCCATTCATCAATTTTTTATTAATAGAATTCTCGCAGTTGTGACATAGAAACTTAAAGCTACTTATTTATATTGCATGGCTGTCGGCTTATGAAAAGAGAGCCAAATAGAAAATGAATATAATGCCTTTAGAAAAACAATCGCAAAACTGAAAGGAATGTTGCAAGATGTTACTACTGTTCATTTGCCAGAACACGATCTCTGCTTTCATGCAAATATATTTTTTGAAAATACCTTGATACGCCCACTAACACACTCCCCGTTCAATTTTTCCACGTTTTGCTGAAGATAAAGCGTATTTCACGTTCGTTATTTGCTGCTTTGCTAAAAACTAACAAAACAAAAAAAAAAAAAACAGCTCAATAACAACAAGAACAACATTTTCAAGAAAAAGGAAGTGTGTTAATTTTTTTCCATTTTTTTATATATTGTTTTTTTTTAGTTGGGGGAAGTAAGAAAAATATGAATATAAAAAAGATTTTTTTTTTTTTTGATCTCCCATATGCAAGCAATTATGATGTCAGAAATGCCTCGACTTACAGTTGTTGTTTGCAAAGAAGGAAAAAAAAATTTAACAAACAGAAAGCCTATAAAAACATAGGTTCGTATGTACAAGCACATATATGTATATTTTATAATATATATATATATATATATATATATATGTACATATTTATGTATGAATGTATGCTTGCATATGTGCGCTTGTATTTATGCATATTTATGTATGGAGATGTAAGCATAAAAGGGGCTGAAGATTTATGAATTTGGCAAATAATTAGCATGATGTTGTTTTATGAAAACAAAAAAAAAAAAAAAAAACGAGAAAAAAAAGTAAAAACAAGAATTTTTTGAGTCAAGGAGATCCACTTTGGAAAAAAAAACGTATGCAAAAAATTTTTAATATAAATGTTTTCCTCAAGGGCAACGATCTTTAATTGTGTAACAAAGTGCAGACAAATTATTAGAGAGTAGAGAGTGGTTTGTCTTATTTTCTTCAATATGTTTTTTCTGTCAAAGTCGAGACCATATTGTGGTTAAAAAAGGGGGCAGAAAAAATTGCTAACAGCGTTCTCTTTGTGCACATAAATTGCCTTTATATATTAAATCAATTGAGAATAGATTGCCCACCATTAAATACCCTACACCTCTTAGTTTAATACATTTATTCGTATAACCGCTTTGCAAAGTGAGATGTTATTTGGGAATTTCAATAGCGTTAGTCCTCGGACCAAAACAAACCGACCTAGCAAATTTGATCTAAATTTTTCAAAAATTGCGACCAGTTGGTTGGACACTAAAAAAAAAGATGGATGGACGGACGGACAAGCATTGATCGATTCTGAATCGATTGATATAATAAAAAATGGGTCTATCTCAAGTCTTTTTAGATCTTGCATAGGTGCGCAGTAAGTGAATATATCGTAGTACCGCAAGTGGTGGATAGTCATACATTCATATTAAGTTGGCACTGTCTTGCAAATAAATCCTCGCTCGTGTTTATAAAGATTTTCTTATGTCATCTATCTATCAAAATAAGGTTTCGTATATTAGATCTTTTAAAATGTTCTCTCCAAAGCAGCCCAAAAAAAAAAGACTGTTTGAAAAGCTTATCTACCTATCTAAGCCTCACTTGTTACGAATTTTACGCGAGTTGATAATCGATCTATATA